TCCTCCCCCCCACCCCCTCCCTAATAACAAGATGGTAGCACTCCTCTCGTTGCCGACTCCTTCAACCTTTTCTCTTCAACCTTTTCTCGTAAATGAACCTGGTTGGGACAATTGCTTTCCAAATTCCAAGTGTGTCATGACGAAGGTCATCTGATGAAGTTAGCGAGCCCCGTGCTGGTAATTCACGGACTGGTGATCAGGTGATACTTCTTCCTTTTTCTTTGGGGGTGGGGTGGGGTGGGGGGGGAGGAGGGGGAGCGGTGTTGTGTCGCATAACACCTGAGCATGATCTCGCAGCATTATATGTTTGGGGAAGCGTTGGGCGATTGGGGCACTTAGAGGATATCAATCGGAAAAGGAATGTCGAGCTGTGCCTCACTCCTTTGTCTTGTAGTTAAACATTAAAATCCATTTTTCGCGTGTGGGAGCATCTTGCTGCACTCTTTTCCCCATGGATCACTATGACCTCTCTTTGTACCTGAACGAAGTTGTGCTGAGCACATGTTCTGGAGTAATGAAAAAAAAAAAAAAAAAAGGAGAATAACATGCGCTTGCTTCTCACTCTTGTGACCACCGCTCTGTTTGTATGCAGTGCAAGAGCAAGACATATTTGGTGTTCAATCTTCAAAGATGTGTTTTGAAGAAGACAATGAGGCGGCGGGCGTATACGTGGACAGTTCTAACTTCTAATGAGAGCGGCATTATATCAATTTATATGTTGTTTGCCAACGTTTGGTGCAAAACTGTGCAAGAATGTGGACAGTTCTAATTGAAGGACTCTATCTTAGTCCGATTAAGGCTTGAAGAAAAGAAAAGAAAAGAAAGAGTGAGTGCCATACGTAATCGCCTCTCAGACCAAGATGATGGCGATTACAGTTGCTCACTGATCCATTGTCTACCAACTTTCACAAGCTCTCTCTGGTGAGTGGCCTCTACCATCATGTATGTTACTGTAATGTACTGTAACATGAACTTGGCCAGGACCAGCATTCAAAGGTCGCTGACCTTGATCTCCACTCTTCGGATTCTGCATCACAGAATCAATCCTGCTTACTGTCCACGTCTCAAGCAGGCGCCGGGTGTATACGTGGACAGTAAGTCACGGCTGAATCCGTGCTCGATGTCAATAGCGAGCCCGAGACTTGAGAATTCACGCGGCACATACCTGTGGAGTCTGTGTGAACACTTCCATCTGATTGGCACTGACCTAGCGTAACTGGTCACTCAAGGTAACTTCTGACATTTGTATTGTTTGGTGCAAAACTCTGCAAGAATTTGGACAGCTCTAATGGAAACATACCTGTGGAGTCTGTGTGGACACTTCAATCTGATTGGCCCTGACCTAGCGCAACTGGTTGCTCAAGGTAACTTCTGACATTTGTATGGTGATGTATAAATGGCCCATTGCAGCCAGTTAGTTTTCCTTTTTTTTACTCCCTTAGCCAATAGTTTTCCTTATCGTTTTAGCAGTTTCACTCCTCATGCTGCTCACAGATCTCTTCACACTTCATGACTGCTTAACCTCTCATTTCTCTTGACTTTTATGCCTTTTTTTTCGTATGCAGCTCACAGATGCAGCTCTCTCGAAGGAGCTCTACAAGAAGAACAGTGCGGTGAGTTTTACCTTATGTCCAGCAGCCTCCCATGGTTGTGGATCTGGTGGTCCCATGGCTTGCCTACAAGCAGCCAAAATCAGCAGTCTGTGCACCACATACCAAATTTAGCAGTTCCAGTTAATCAACACCGAAATGAAAGGAGTAAGAACAAACAAAGAAGGTGGGAGGCTGATTTATGTAACATGTGCAGCGACCCAGTGCTATAGCGAACACCATCTTTCTTATTATGTATGGCGTGCGCTCATTGAAATAGAATAGAATGGGTGCACAGTTTATTTAAAGAAACAGGCCTCGGGAGGAGTACAGCAATAGACAGATCACTTCGCGTCTGTTCGCTCTGGCCAGACCTTTTTTCTTTTTTTTCTTTTTTTTTCTTTTTTTTTCTTTCTTTTTTTTTAAATAAAACAGAATCTCCTGGTTCTCGCTCCTACCATTCTGGGGAGCAACAGTCCGGTTCCTTTCCCCCGGCGAGTCAGTAGTAGATAGGACACACATGCACGCTCCCCCCCATTATGGCTGGGAGGCCCGAGTGAACGGCATTGAATACTTCCCTTAGGAAGGTTTTACCACCCCTCACCCCTGCCTAAGTTAACCTGTACTATCTCAGTTTGCCAAAACATTTAATCCCAGTTCCTATCGTACTATCCGTATCCTATATTCCTTGAACCCTACAACCCCCTTCACTTATCCTTCCTTGCCTTGCCTCACTTCAATTCTTATGGCATCCTAAGTTCTTGTGTCGACAACTGATCATCTATAGTGTCCTCCTGTCGCTCGTCTTTGAACCAATGGAAGATAAGTCTCTCTCCTTCTACGGCCGCGACTTTGCCTTGGACTAGTACCTTTTTCTGGAATTTGGTTAAAATATCCTTTGCCCTTTCTGGGTTAAGTGCCACTTGCTTCTTTGTCCTTCTCCATAACGCCCTAATCTCTGTCTCCAACTGGCTATAGAGAATTGCCTTGGCTTCCACTCTAGTCATCAGAAACTTACACACCACCTGCTGACATCTTCATTTCCATATTGTCCATAAAGTGTACTGTCTAAGAAGCTGAAAGATATATTTATGGCCTGCCGCCATTCCTTAGGCACCTCACTTCCTATCAATATTAGTTTCCTGTTTCGCGGGAAGGGGACCTCCGTAGTACGTGTCCACAATGAGCGAGCTATGGACCAGAGATATTCTGCCTTCCGGCAATGGAGCAAGTGATAGATCAAAGTTTCCTGAACGCCTCTCATACACATAAAAAAGTATTGATCTGACTCATTCCTATTGAGCCTGCTTCGCTTATCGAACAGCCAGACATTGACTGGGAGTGCTACATGATAGATGAGCTTCTGCATGCTCCTGACCTTGGCCAATCTGATACTGTGCAAAGTTGACCATGGTTACCTTTTTACCTGTTCCCTTGGTATATCCAGTCTTTTCTCCCATCTTATCGCCAAAGTCTGATCCAGATGACATGATCTCCCCCTCAGACAGTAGCCCAATTTAGTGGTGTACTGAAGTATATTAATTCTCCTGCTTACTCTGGATGAGTTTCCCTTATGTTCCATGCCCACTCTGCTGGATCAATTTCCAGGTCCCGAATGGATGCCAGTGGCTCAAATATCGTAAAATCTTCATTCTCCCACCACTCTGACCTTTCTTAAGATGCTTTTCTTAATGGCAATCGGAACCCTGGAATCCTTATCCAGCATACTGACCATGACTCCTGGAGATAATATTGTGTACACATCTGCTTCCAACCACTGTTTAGAAGGTCCTATCTCCTGTCTTATGCGAAAGGCTGCCTCTGGTTCATTAGTAGAAGCTATTGTTGCCCAATCCCCCCATCCCCATTTGTCTGGTTCCTTCAATGTCCTTGTCCACTCATCCGGGATCGAGACAAGAATTTCATTCAGGTTTTCAGCTAGTCTGTGACAGCCCTTCATTTCCTCCCTCAGGTCCCTACCTTTTTTCCATCTCCCCCTACTGCCTGACCAGAGATGTTTTACCCGCCATACCCCATGCTCTAACCACTTCCCCCACTTGGCGTCCTTTGCTGTTAGTGTTCTAGGTCTTCCTTGAGAGTCTCTTAACCAAGGATTACAAAATAACGGCTGTCTAAGCACTTCCTCCTTCTTCTTGGGTTGTCTTACTCTTGTCGGGAAGACTTCCTCCCAAATTTTGAGCAATTGACCCCAATATGTACCTTCAGTTGCATCATCCTCTGCTAATTGTTCGCTCGTTCTATCCTTCTTAGTCCAACCCTTGCAGAATAGCCAGAATGTACCCTTCATATTGGAAGGCGTTTTGTATCTGGCCATCTGTCGTATGTGGTCAAGTACCAATGGGACCCACCGTAAGTGAGGCTGTGTTAACAACTTAATGATCCACTTAGTTTGGAGTGACCTTATCTGCTGTCCTGGATCCAAGACTCCCAGCCCTCCCTTGTCCTTTGGTTGAATAACTTGGTTCCATGATACCTTTGATATAAAGTTGGATCTTGTTGGATTTGCTGTCCACAAATATGTTGTTGCCACCTTCCTCAGTTTTTGCAGTGTATATGCAGGTGGTGACTATATTGTTCCAGCATACCATAACATAGAGGAGATTGAAGCATTTATGACTAGTGCCCTCCCAACACTGAGGTATGTATTTTCGACCATGCCGCCATCTTTAATAACATTTTTGTCATCTGTTCAGGCGCCATGGAGTGGTGATGACCCGTATCCTCCATTTTGATCCCTAAGTATCTCATTGTCTGATCCGGTGGTAACCAAGTCATCCCCCCATAATTTTGTGGTTGATACTGTGGCTGTTGGTCGTCATATGATAGCCACCACCTCAGCGTCTTCGGTCAGTTGATTCTCATCTCCGATGTCATCTGGAATGCCGCCATTGCTCTCGTAAGGGCTTGAAATGAAGAGTCCGTTGCTCTGATTAGTACCGTCAGATCGTCCGCAAATAATATCGTTGTTGGCAAATCTGTGACACGTCCCTGCTGATCCGGTTCAGCAATCAGACGGTGTATTGAAGGGTATTTCCTAAGTAACGAGGCAATAGCTTCCATTATAAACAAGAAAATGGGAGCCGCTAAAGGGTCCCCTTGCCTCACCGACCTTGTCATTTTATACCTATCTGACAAGTGGCCATTAACTTGGACCTGTCTGTGTGCATCATTATACAGTACATGAATCCACTTACAAAAGTTAGGGCCCACTCCCATCTTCACCATTCATTGTTGTAGAAAGTTCTAGTTGACTTGATCATATGCTTTTTCGAAGTCGAAGAAGAGGATCGCTGCGTTTATCCTCTTATTCGTAATGTACCTTACCGATTCTGATAAAGTCATGACATTATCCAATATAAATCTTCCCGGAATGAAACCTGTTTGATCTAGGTGGAAACAACCTTCCGGAACTTTCTTGAGGCGGTTAGCCAGTGCCTTAGCCACAATCTTGTGAGTAAGGGTCAACAGTGTAATTGGTCTGTAATTTTTTATAACCCTAGGGTCTCCCTTCTTATATTGCAGAGGAACGATGCCTGTCGCCGACTCTAACCCCAAACCCTCTCTCTGTCAGGCTTGATTGAGAAAAGATTTGTACTCTCCTCCTAGGATAGGCCAATACTTGCTGCTCCCCACCAGTAGATGGAGCCTCCCCGAAGGTGCTAGCGATGTCTGCACTCATCAGCACCCCTAGCAACCGTTCGGGCTGTTTCTCAAAAAAAAAAAAAAAAAAAAAAAAAAAAGTGTAGGCCAATACTCCACCCAAAAGTCTTTAGTCAATCCATCCCTACCCGGCGTCTTGTTAGGAGGCATAGAGTGTAGGGCTTCCCTTAATTCCTCCTTGGACAGAGGAGCGTCCAATTTTTCCGCTTGCTCCCTCTTCACCGTACAACCTAAGTATGATAGAAACTTATGTTTGACTTCCTTAAGCTGATGAGAAGTATGGTCACCTTCCCTTGAAGTGTATAATGCACTGTAGAAGACGTACGCCACCGAAAGCATCCCTTCCCGGATTCGAAACCACTCCTTTCGGACCTTCCAACTATTCTATTAGCTTTTTTCTTCCTCTTGCTTTAGTCTTTTGAAAGAAGTACTTTGTCATTATTTCCCCCTCCTCCCATTCTTTCACTCTCGCTCTCATCTGCAGACCCCTAGTCCTCCATCTCTCTCAGTCACCCAATTCGTTTCTTGCTGCTTCTATTATTCTCTCGTACATCTCCGATCCTGGGTTATTGATTAAATTCCTTTCTGCTATACGCAATGCCATTTGCAGTTCGATTTCCCTTGCCTCCCGTCTTGCTGCCAGTTGTCTGGCTACTGCTGTCGTTGCTGCTGACAAGGCTTCTATAAGGTCCGCGAATGATTGTGCGTTCAGATTGTGTGTTAGGCACACTTGCAGGATAGCTTCTCTCAACTCTTTAGTTCTTAATAACGAATTATTAACCTTATAGAAACTTCTTCCTCTGTGAACATGTTTGTCCATAATGAAGTTAAGAAATATGGGTTTATGATCTAGGCACGAACAATATGGTAAGTCCCCTACTCCCACCGAGTGTATTGTTCCCACAATGTCTTGTGATATGAGGAAGTAGTCTATCCTTGATGCCGAAATATGTTGACTACGATTCCTTTTGTAATACGTGAACTTTTTCCCTTCTGGCTGTTGAAGTCTAAACGGGTCTACCAGATCTCTAGCTGCCATAAGGTTATGAATAGGTAGGGCTTCGTCCCACATCACTCCTTCCCCTAACCCAGACCTTCCGCCTAGTAGCCTGTCCCTACTAGGATCCAAAATAACATTCCAATCTCCTGCCAATATGAGATGTTTTGATGGGTCTATGTTTTTTTGTAGCGTATCTGTCATCTCTGACCGATGATGTCGTCCGTTAGGACAATAGATTGTAATGAGCATGAACTGCTCATTCTGATAGGTAAAATTGAGCTTTATCCACCGACCTTCATCTTCATTTAGAATGACATCCTGTACTATTATTCTATCTGCAGCCTGCGATCGTATATTGAGTAAAACTACTATGCCTGCTGAATGTGACCTGCCCGCTGCTACCCAAAAACTTGTCTTAACCCACCTTAGTTGTCTTACTATACGCAGTTGAATGTTCTGATGCTCTGATGAATCCGTGAGTTCCCTGCAGGCATAAGAATTCTGGAGGTGTCTTCCCAAACCAGTTTGAGTACCTCATTACGTTGTCCCACTTGTCTTTGTTTTCCAAAATCAGTACCATCTCATTGATGTTCCAAGACATGACCTTAAGGTCCGGCTCCCTACGTTTTGAAGTATCCACTGTTCTTCTACGTCTATACACTCCCTCTCTCAATCCCGTCTCCATGATCTATGATGTCTTTTTTGACCCTTTTCGAATTTCCTACTCAGGATCCTACCCGGGTCCAGTCTACTGTTGTAGCCAGGATCTCTATCTTTCCGTCGATGTAGTCCGGCTGCCATGCAAACACATCACTTTTGGTCACTATGGCCGCTCCCCTTGCCACCCATTCTGTTGCCTCCGAACCCCCCAGCAGTCCATACGAGATCGTCTCCACCACTTGCCATGGCATCCAAATCAATCCCTCAGCCAATACTGCCTTTTCCTGCAGCTGATCACGACTGACCTGTAGTTTACCATGTGTGTTGTACCCGTCGCGTCTTCCCATTCTTCCCTATCATGCTTGAGATCCCCATTGACGTGTGTCTGCGAGGGCAGATCTTTTGTGATACGTTCCTTCAATATATCTTGCTCATAGTGACTGTCCTTCGCTGTGATTGGTGCCAGAGACCTTTGGATGGCCACCTCCCAATCAGCGTTGAAGTCAACTGGAACTTTCTACAACAATGTATGGAGAAGATGGGAGTGGGCCTTAACTATCGTAAATGGATTCGTGTACTGTATAATGATGCATACGGGAGTTAATGGCCACCTGTCAGATAGGTATAAAATGACGAGGTCGGTGAGGCACGGGGACCCTTTAGCGGCTCCCATTTTCTTGTTTATAATGGAAGCTATTGCCTCGTTCCTTAGGAAAGACCCTTCAATAGACCGTCTGATTGCTGAACCGGATCAGCAGGGATGTGTCACACATTTGCCAACAACAATATTATTTGCGGACGATCTGAGGGTACTAATCAGAGCAACGGACTCTTCATTTCAGGTCCTTACGAGAGCAATGGCGGCATTCCAGATGGCATAGGAGATGAGAATCAACTGGCCGAAGACGCTGGGGTGGTGGCTATCATATGACGACCAACAACCACAGTATCAGCTACAAAATTATGGGGGGATGACTTGGTTACCGTCGGATCAGACAATGAGATACTTAGGGATCAGAATGGCGGATACGGGTCCTCACCACTCCATGGCTCCTGAACAGACGACAAAAATGCTATTAAAGATGGCGGCATGGTCGAAAATACATACCTGACTGTTCAGGAGGGCACTAGAGGTCTGGATTTTTGCAGGCGGACAGAAAGAATTACTGTTTTTATGTCCACAAAAAATAATCCGTTTTGCTTTAAGTGCAGAGGCAAGGGACACTTGGGGATGCACTGCCCGCTGTCTGGGTCGGGGTCAGGAGGCAGTCAGCCACAATTAAAACAATCAATGCTTGTTGAATCAGACAACAAACTAGGGGTATGGTTCATCAATTCAGCACAATACAGGGGCTGGATCTTCGATGACAACCTGGACATTCCACGATGGGTGTGGGTTCTTCGCAGCGCACCGACGGTGAAATATGACATCTACCTTCCATATGACAGTAGATGGCGGCAAATGGGTGCAAAGAGGATGGTGGACAGAGACGTGGGCTTTATCAATAAGCCCATGATAGATGACGCCTCATTGCTGGATGACAGGCAGAGACTACAGACCATGGCAGAGCTACACAAGGTGGGCCAAGCAGCGGAGCTGGCCTTCTTGGAAAATAGAAGAGCAAGAGAGGAGTCACAGAAGTCAGAAGCGGAGGGAAGTTCAGAGGAAAGGGGGGACGATGGTGTGCAGGGAAGTAAGAACGGTTCAAGGAGTAAGGGAACGAGAGAGGAAGAGACAAAAGAAGATGGCGAAGACAGAGTCAATGAAGGGGAAGGGAAGGGGAGAGAATCATTAGCTTCTCTCGAGAGGAAAATCAGTGACAGGGAATCAGTGAAAGGGGATAGCTCATACCAGGGACCTAAGCGGGCACATTCAGGGAAGGGAACAGATGAAGCTTCCACACAGGGGGAACAGGAGCACAAGGAAGATATGGAGGAAGAAGGCAAGGGGGAACAAGGATCTCAAGGGGAAGAAATGGAAATTACAGCCTCTTCAGATGACACGTCAGCATCAGCCTCAACGAACCACCAAACAGAACATGTGCCTTCAGCAGGCCGAACTAGCTCTACAAACAGCTCACCTTCCGGTGATACGGAAAACACAGCAGAGGACTCGGGGGGGGGAGAGGACGAAGGAGCAGGGAAAACGTCACAGGATACAAATTTGGATGGGGACAGTGACATGGGGGAGGAGGAATGGGATGAGGAAGAAGGGGAGGAGAATCCGGAGACGCTAGCACAGTGGATTAAGCACGTTCACAAGCTGAAGTGGGAGAGACACATTGAATGTGAGATTCGTCTGGCACACCACAAGCATTTGCGCAATTTGAAACAAGCCACAACAGCAGGGGATGACATCACAACAGCAAACAGATTTGAAAGACTGAAGAATGAGATGGAGGTTAATGAGTTCTACGCTACGCAATATGGATGGAAGGCTAGGCTGGACTAGAATGACATCACGGTGCACAATGCAGGGTACGCCAAGCAGTTCATTTGGCCGAAGTCTTACCAGCCACAGGGTCTGAAGAGATCTGAACAGAAGCGAAGGGCCCAACAGCAAGAAGCGAAGCAATTGGGAAGTAGTAACCAGGTCAGGCATAATTTAATTTATTTCCGAAGGGTACGAAGTTGGTAGATGTCGAAGCAGCACTGCTTGCTGGATTGTGACTTGTGCAATCAGACTCGTTCTGAAACACACTTTTCATGCATGTAAACAGCAACGCAGCATACTGGCGACATACGCCCACTCAAAATTCAGATATATGGCTTTCAGATACGAGTTCAC